TAAAAATAAAACCCAACAACTTTGGCTGTTATGAACGCATCATTTCCTGTGCGGAGATGTCTGTTACGCATTCCCCCACAGTGCTTCATCCATGCGTCATCTTGTCTGCAGCCAGGTCCCTCTCGGTACACCTGCCAATGCACACTCCTCTGGTTGTAGTGCTGTTACCATGACGACGAAGAATTTCACACATTCCCTTTACATTTCTCCATGAAGCTCTCTGAGGTGACAGAACACAACCATGTGTGAGTGTGTGAGCTCAGAGAGTTTCCCTGCAGAAACAATAATGTAATGAAAGTGGTCTGCCGACGCCAGGCAACTACTGTGGAATACACCTCAACACACACATTCCTCTGATTGATTATGTTGGGAAGGGGCCTTAGAGAGATTTGAGTTACTGTGTGAAACAGATCTATGGGTGTTTCCCCACCAGACTGTTAACTTTGACACCCTGTCCTCTCTACTCTGACAGCACTGAAAGGGACTATTATTTTATTGCCTGCTCTCGTCTTCATTCATTCTCAGTATCTGTGTCGTTATCCCAGAAGACCTATCTTCTCCTTCTGTCAAGAAATAAGAGCCTCAGAAATGAGGTTGTTATACCTCAGTGTATTGTCACGACTCATTACTCAGCTAAAGCCCCTTTTCTAAAGATGCTTTATGATCAAATTTGGCACCAATGTAGTAAGTATAGATAGATCATGTCTGAGCCTTGACTGCTACACCCTGTGTATCCCAACTTCATTTGCAAAGTATCAAAGAATCCTGCTCAAACAGCTTGTAAGTGAATAGCTAAGCCTATGGTAGCAATATTGGAGGCCCTTAGTTCTTGGCAAATGGAGCTTACAACAATGGAGGGTGTCTACACATACAGTACAAGCTTGAAGGAAACCAGCCATCGTTATCTGATGATATACCTACTCTGGATCGCATCACCCTTGCCTCCAGCCATCAGGAATCAGGGAGTTATCTACAATATGGATTCATCCTTTGATTCTCATTTAAAACACATTTCAAAGACTGTCTTTTTTAAACCTTGTTACATTGCAAAAATCAGGGACGTCCTGTCTCAAAAAGATGCAGAAAAAAGAGTCCATGCCTTTGTCACATCCAGACTTGATCATTGTTATTCCTTAATATCAGGCTCGAGCAGTAAGTCTTTAAAGACCCTGCAGCTTGTCCTAAATGCTGCAGCACATGTCCTGACAAGAACCAGGAAAAGAGACCACATTTCTTCTGTATTAGCTTCACTACACTGGCTTCCAGTTAAATTTAGAATAGAATTTAAAATTCTCCTTCTCACCTACAAGGCCAACAAGAGCACTGCGCTCCCAGAAGTCTCTAAACAAAGAGCCAGAATCTTCAGCTATCAAGCTCCTCTCCTGTGGAATCATCTCCCAGTTTCAGTTCGGGAGGCAGACACCCCCTCTACGTTACAGTCGAATATGAACCTTCACTTATAAAATGAAAAAAGGTGCAGCCAATGATGGTCAGAAAAAAGAGGCTGATAAACCCTGTCCTTGTCCTTTCGTGTTTCTCAGCTGGCAAACAGGCAACCGGTAACACCAGCAATGACCTATGTGTGTGCATCAACATCATTTATTGGCCTTGTTCATATGCAGCCAAGCTCAAATTGGTTTATTACAAAAGAGGCAGAGAGCAATACAGTGTAATAAAATAAATGGAAAGGAAGAGGCAGCCTGTTATTACAGCAATAGCCTATACAGGCTATGATACAATTACTATTCACAAAACAATGACTAATTTCACATGGTCTGTATATTGTCGTGATAATTGTGCATGTACGCACACACACACACACACACACACACACAGTACAAGCACACAGAGCGATCCTGGTAGCTGCAGAATAATTATAGAAGGATCAATGTAATGTTCTGCCTTCCTGCTGTCAGCCATTACTGGCCTAATGAGAAAGACAGTGAGAAAATTAACATAATGAACTAGGCCCCAGGCTTGACACACACACACACACACACACACACACACACACACACACACACAAACACACACACACATCTGTGGAAATCAAAGTGGAAAAAACCACCCCCTCCAGCACATACACTGAACACCACACAGCCTCAGCACATTACAGTGTGTGCTTAGCCAACATTATTCAGAATTATCCTTTCTACTGTACTCATGGGATCAAACTAAACATTAACACACACAAACACACACACACCATTATCCACAGCTTGCAGCTTGAGTATGTGGGTGTGTTTTGCGTCTGCTTTTATCCCAAGGGCACCATAGGATACTTGTACAAGTTTGTATGTCTGAAGTGTCAATACACAACTATTTCGTTTATGCTAAGCCAGCACACTTTGCTGTGCACTTCTATCTTTGTGAGGACGCTCATTGCCATTTGGAATTAACCTAACCTTAAGCATCTCAGCTAAATGTCTAACCTTGACCCTAATCAATGATCATGGTCCTAAAAGACAAGTCTCAGTCCTCAGACATTTGAAGGTCAGTCATTAAAACAAAGTGAGGACATTTTGGCGGGTGCTCACTTTTTTAGATTTGAGTGCACACACATGCCAAGTGCAGAGCTGAGTTGTGTTTTTGATTTCAGTCACTCTGACTACACAAGGGTAAAACCTTCATTATACGTCTTGGCTTCTCTCTCAGACACAGTAATGAATATGATCTCAGAGGGAGATGTGAGCTGCTCCCCCATCCTGTGTGGGGAGTTAGGCTGAGCTTCAGTCTCATTACTGTGTCGACTCTAAAGTACACCACAGTCTGCACTGCCGAGTTCACCACAAGAGTGCGTGGCTTTATTACTCTCACTTGTCCCAACCCCTTGTCTCTAATCTTCTCACTCTATTCTTCTTACCCTCGCTGTAATTACTGTAATCATTTTGCCTATTATTTTACCATATAGGTGTTACTTGTATTTATTTAAATGGAATCTTAAAAACATAACTTCCATTTTTTGGGGGGAAATACTAACATTGAATCACACGATTTTGCATCTTTCAACTCTCCTATCAGCTGTTTTCAGTGGAAGACTTTGACTGTCTGTGAACATGGAGCCCAACATGCCAATGCTTGGTTTACAGAGGGAAGACAGTGCTCTACAAATAAAAGATATACAAACACACACACAGTGGAGAAATAAAAGACACTTGACTCAATTTCTTTGTATGTACAGTTGACATTTATAGAGCTAATACAAAACCACTGTGGTACAGATCATTTATAAAAACTAAACCATAACAACATAAATAGTTCAGAATCCTAAAAAACATCTTAGTCTCTCTCCAGCGTCAGAGATGGTGGTGGAGGATTCATGAATGTTCTGTTGATTTTACAACTGCATCCATTCACTGGAGCTCTCTCACAGACAGGAGATTTACCCCAGCATCATTACCACCTCAGTCCAGCAGCCAGCGAATCCAAAACTCCTCCTACTGTTGAATACGTGGCTCGTTGTGAGAGAGCCTGGGCTTTAGTGAGAGTTTTCATTATCCCATAATGCTCTAAATGCTGCCCGGAAGGCTTTTACACCCAGACTGATCCTGAGGGATTTAATGGACACAAATATTTGGGATTTCAGGTTTTTCTTTTACAGGAAAATTTAAATATTTTGTAAAATACTAAATATCAGCATAAACAGTGCATAAAGCATCATCCCTGCACATTCCAATTCAGAACAGAACCACTGAACTTTGGATGTATAACTAGTCTTTGCTGTCTGGAATACTGGTGTGTAAAGTGTAGATCAGGATGTGGAACACAACAGTGAGGCCAGTCTTGGAAAAGGCGAACATCTGTGACTGACTCCCTCGGCGTTGAAGTGACACAATTGGTTTGGCTAGTTGGAGTTTCCCTGCTCTTTCAAAATGAATAGGTGCATAACAGTTTATATTACATTATCAGGAGTTTACAGGCACTTCTGCCAACTTAGCACCTTTGTCACAAGATTTACCAACTTTTCGAACTCCTTAAGTGACTTTTTTTTCAAAGCACTACACTAAAAATGTAGTGACCGGACAAGGTTATCAGTACTGACCCACAAGCTTGAGGACAGCCTTACCTTCTCTATGCATCTCTTTCTACGGACCACATGGAAGCTGACATAGACGTGAATGAGCTTCTAATTTCTCTTTATTTTGTAAGTAAATACAGATGGAGCTGTGGTCCTTAATTTATCCGTCTGTGATTTTCGTCGGATGAGTTGTTGTGGACATTAAATCCAAATTTTATCAGAGTGGAGCAGCAGCTTGGAACTGTGTAGAAGTGACTGCTGCCCAACATGTCATCTTAAGGGGCCATGTCTTAGTCACACTTTCATACTTGTTCTGTTGTCTGACAACTGAAACAGACAAAATGCAAATATGACACAATAATGCATGAATACACTCGTTACACCATCTTGCAGCATTGAGCCACTGCTCAGGACTGAGCCCCTTTCTATTGAAAGTAGTTGTTGATAGTTTTTTACGTCCTCAATGTGTCACATTGACCACACACGGCCCAGACATGTAGGTTCTGACATGATCGTTATGCAAAAAAGGAAACTTCTATTTCAACAGTACTGGATCACACTTCACAGGCTGAAACTGAAAATTCAAACCTGACTTTGTTTGAGTGGAGTCTGATAGGTGACTGACAAATAAAAAAAACCTGACAGGAAGCTCCTGCTCCACACATCCTGAGGTCGTAATTCCTTCCATGTCACAGCTAAAATGAGGCTAATAGTTGTGTAGTGTGCTCGGCTGTGAACTTAAAATACATCACAAAAAGACTTTGAATTTTCTCCTAAAACATTAGGAGCTGTGTTAAAAGTTTTAATATCGCTGATGGATATGTGGGGTCTGTTTGGACACAGGAGGACAGTTCAGGCTAGACAGCAGTAATGTTTGTGATATATGAAGTAAGAATGACTGTTAACACTATGATGTGTGCGGTTTGTTGGATGTTTGTCAGCAAGTCACTTAAAAAAAGATCCTCTTATTGAATGTAACTGTTCAGACGTCCACGTAATCTCTGTCGCACCCCTGGTGGGTTTTACCCTGGTGATTGTCTGATAATGAATATGGGACATTTTTGCAGTAAAGCTATTTACAGCCATTTGAGTGGAGTGTAGTGTTACTTTATCTCAATCCATGTTATTTATTTATATTTTGGTTTTTGTTCACATTTCTACATCACTGAATAGACACATGTAGCCTACTCTGAATACACGTTCTGCAGAATCCTGTACACATTCATAAAACATGTGTAATCAGATGTGTAAATGTGTAAGGGAATCTCTAGTGTCCATTGACATCTGTGAATTTGGAATCTTGAAATGTGTGTATTCAGAAAACAAGAGCGCAATCACATTTGTAAATGTGGAAAGAAATCTGATTACACATAAATTGATTGAGATACAGTTACACAATATTCCACTCTCATAGCTGTAAAAAGCTATACCAAAATAATGACCCCATACATGTCCCAGCATGTGTGAGTCTTAGTATGTTATTAGTCTATGTAAGGGTAAGGTATGTTTTACTGCTGCTGTGTGGAAACCTATTCATGTTTAATGCTTCATTGCTTTCTTGTTTGGTCTTTAATAACTCATAGATTTGTGATCATTATCATGGCCAGTAACCAGTTGATGAAATCACTTGATACTGCTCATTTGATTGGACACTGAGTGCAATGTTTAAAACTTTCGGATTGGTCCTTTAAACACTCACAGGCTGAGCTCCTTCCATTTGTAATACAATTTGCAATTTTTGAGTATAAAAAGTTTTTCATCCAGAGTAACAATATTTATCTTTGTTACAGTATATGATGTATCACAGTATGTGTGTGTGTGTGTGTGTGTGTGTGTGTGTGTGTGTGTGTTTGTGTGTGTGTGTCTGTGTCATGGGATCTGGAGCTGTTCCTCCTCCTCCTCATCCATATCGCTGCTGGGACTGTCAGGGTTTTCAGGAGTGAACCGAGCCGTTCGGATCTTCCCAAACAAGCCAGGACTTTGCTGCTGCCGCCGCAGTCTAGGGAGCAGAGGGGTGGGGGGGTGTTTAGACTTGTAAATAACTCATCTAACAGCAGAAATTTAAGGTGTACTGTCAGAGTACATGACACAATTTCTTCAACGAACAAGTACTGTATAATATTTACAGTTTGATGGTTTCAGACAAACTATTGCACTGAACATGCAAGAAAACATTGCATTGCAAAGTTGGTATGAGCTTCAAATCCCCCCATTAAACTTGGACAGACAGTGCTGCATCACAATGTCTCCTGAGAATGGAAGCTATCTTAAATTCAGTTATAAGAAAAAAACTGAAATATCACTTTGACACAAGTATTCCTGGATTTTGTAAAGGAGGTGACCACGAGCCTGATGGTCCCTCTGTCGTAAAGCCCAGGTCAGTGGAGTGCTGCAGTAATGCTTGTCCTTCTGGACGTTTCTCCCGTCTCCACACAGGATCTTTGGCGCTCAGCCAGTGACCATCGGGTTCTTGGTCCCCTCCCTTACAAAGGCCCTCCTCACCAGATGGCTCATTCTGGCCAAGCAGCCAGCTCTAGGAAGAGCCCTGGTTGTTTCACATTTTTTCCTTAAAGAATTATGGGGCCACTGTGCTAGCTCATAACTTGAATAACTGGAACCATGAAAGCGTTATACATTTCATGGCCTCCACCCAACATTAGCTGAAAATGTTCAGCTGGACCAATCAAACTAAAGAGCACAAGCGTGGCTGAAAACAGTCAACCAAAGAGGCTGAGTGAAAAGCAGCAATTTAACTATGTACTCATGGATTTAACTCAATGCTTATAGCTCTGACTGTCAACCTGTGTGATCAACTTAATAGCTTTTGTCCTCAATGATATCAGTTTTATCAGGTTTATTTGTGCTGAGGAGAGATGAATAGGGGTGTGATCTGCACCAGAGATTATTTCAATGAGAAAATATATTTTTTTCCAATTGATTTACAACCATTTTTTTTTTTTCAAGGCAGGAAGCTATATCTCTATTATGAAACATGCAGACTGTCTTATTTCTTACTGCTCTTGTTTTCCCTTCACACAGCACATGCCATGATGCCTGGATATTTGAGGGATTGAAGCTTCAGTTCCAGGTAAAGTAGACTGAGCTAAAATCCTCTTACATGTGTCTCACCAGACCCCTTATTGTTGAACACACTCTAAATAAGCCAAGGTGTTCCATATTTCCATACTTCACTGTGTCACTGTGTGAAAGAGGTTTTGAGCTGACCATGATTCATGTGACTTCAACCTACCCATGATGGAGGGAAACACAATGAGAAAGAGCCTGGCACAGAAAGACTACTCCCTAATGCAACAGAGTATGAGTACGCAGTTTGTCATTTCAACAAATGGATAAAATGACAAAAAGAAAAAGAACATGAAGAAGTGGAGATAAAACCTCAGGGCCTCAGACAAAAGCTTTAGTTGCTTCATCAGTAGAATTCTGACTGAACTGCTCTTTATTCAAGGGACAACTTATGATCATGAATTTACACATTTTGGTTGAAAGAAGCTGCCTCCACTGTGATCACATCATCACACCACATCAATAAAGGATAAAACCAGCAAACCACTGTTAGGTAGGTATGACTGGAGTCTGGACAGTGGGGGCTCAAATCCAAACTTCACGATGCAGGGTGACAATCAGTTTTACTGTCAAATGAATGAGTCAGTTCAGTGACACTATGAAAGAAGGCTGGTTTGTGACCAAAGCAGTGATTTTTCCCTGAATACTTAATACGAACTGAAGAGGTAAATCTACTTAAAAAAAGAGAGAAAAAAACAAAGACAATAACTATACATAGTTTGAACCTGCGTAATAGTTTTTCCTCTTCAACTTGTTGATCATGTCCAGGGTCTGCTAGAAATTAACTATCTCATCATGATTGATGATGCACACTTTCCCATCTTGGCACACCTGGCCATTCGCTGCATGAAGTGAGCGTGCTTGTTGGATTGCTGACCCCTAACTAAGAGAGCTTTTGGTGACAAGAAAAAAGTGACAACAAAACATGTGATCTCCTCAGCGGAATTAATACCTTACTCCCTGCCTTTGTCTGTTGCACCACCCCTCACCTTGATGCTCCAAAAATTCCTGTGCTGTTGTGAATGTGTCTGAGTGGACCATCTCCAGCTGCGTTAATCATAAACGACAGGCAAACTCCAGAGAAAGTCCTGACCCAATGCTGCGGACATCCTCCGGAGTTCATTTCTAAGATCTGGTGGTTTGTTTCTTGTCAGTATCAAACATAACATTTTGTCACAGAATCATAAATACAATTGCTGATTGTGAACTTTTCATGATTGACTCAAAGTACTGCAGATGAAAATCATGGTACGTTCCTGGTAACCATGGAAACACGTCAGTATATGTGGGTCCTTGTTAAACTGATGATGCAGATTGACAGTTACTGAAACTGTCCCATCAATAATTTACATGTCAGTATATGTGACTTACCACCTCCTCTTCTCCCTCTTTATCACATAAGTGACTCATCAATACATATTGCTGACTTTACTTCTTCCTCAGAGTCCTTGTGCCTTATCGTTTTCAGATCCAGGGCTGCAGCACATTGAGGATCATGATGGTGGATCACAACACAGAGATCGTGATCACATGGGTGGAACATGTTGGCTGATCGTGATCTTATTGGAGGATCATATTGACAGATCCTGATCGTGGTGGCAGCTGATCGTGGACAGTGGTGGTGGATCATGACGATGGATTGTGGACTATGGTGGCATCTGATTGTGGGGGTGTATCCTCATTGTGGTGGCAGCTGATCATGGACTATGAACAAGACTGCTCGATATACAATATGTCTACTCAGATATTCGACCATTACCATTGGTTAATTGAATGATTGATTGACATGTTATCACTCGACACCAAGTTCCAAGTCAAAACTAAGCCATTACCATGACAACTCTGCAAACCATGTCCACATAAACAACTTGGGTTTCTGACTTTCCTCCACCACAATATTTCTCAAAACACTGCTCTTTTTGATCTTTTCACCTTTTCTATCCTTAGAAATCAACAGTCAAGGTCAGAGCCAACAAGTATATTAACCATCATAACATTCATCCCACAAAACAAGCTCACTTCCTAAAAGCTTTCCAACTGAGCAGGAAGAGAGTGAGTCCAGAGGGAGAATGGAGAGACAGAGAAGCTGCCATCCAATTGTGTTGTGGTCACTTTTTCAATGAGCAATGACGAGAATGAATGGCTTTATCAACAGTGCAACCACGATGCACCAGATCATGTTTCCTACACCACAGATGGAAACACAAGCAGCTGCTGTATTGCTACAACAAAATGAAAAGTTTGCTTTCACTTTAAAGAGAACTTGCAAAAGAGAAAGAGTTTCTATAAATGTTGCTGCCGTGCTTGAGATCGGGAACCGCAACGTTCAACCAGAGAATGTCTGTTTCAGGGAAACAGGGTTTGGACCCGAGGTTTGACACAGTTGCTGACCACTGCTGTAGTGTATCAGAGGACATACAAGAAGATATGCAAATGTTGGAACATCTACTTTCACTACTTCAACAATTCAGCATCACAGTTCCTTTAGGCTGAGGAATTCACAAACCCTAACCTTAGTCAAAGTCCACACGTCTTTACCTTAAAATCCAATGATTTGCATTATGGGGACACACTTTGTGTTCCCATTGGTAAGACACATTCCCCATAATTCCCACAACATGAATAATGAGTAATACCTTTTTTTATATCTTATATCTTCTTATATCTTTGTTAGGACACTCATAGCCTTAACCACCACAATTAAATGATTACTACTACCTCTAAACTAAACCTTATTCTATCTACCTAATCCTCACACACACACACATGCACATACACACGTGCACACACACACAAGCTGTTTCAGAGAATCGAAAGCTTAAGCTACAACCTTTACAGGAAAACACACAGATTTCAGTCAGTCTCTGAAGCTGTTACTATGCCGACACGCCTGTCACTCCTCCACACAGCCAAGCAACAACAGTGCTCCCTGTTACTATGCTGACCTGCAAATGGGTGCTCAGCAATTGGCTGTCGGGAGCAGCGACGTGGAGAGAATGGAGAGAAAGCAAAGGGAGGGGCAGAGAGCAACGAGCTGAGGACTGTGCAAAGCAGATAGAGTGTAAGAGCTAAAGTGAGTGACAAGTGATACACATACAGAGCAGAAGAAGCTAATCCCTAAATAGTAGGACAAGTAAGTACTGAGGCTCACAGCAAGCCTGTCTACTACAAGCAGGCTGTCAGCTTCACATCACATCACACACACACACACGTCTCTCTATAGTTGTGAGGACATTGACATAATGCATTCCCTAACCTTAACTATCACAACTAAATGCCTAACCCTAAACCTTATTCTAAACCCTAACCCTAAGGCCAAGTCTTGACCCTTGAACATATGAAGCTTTTTTCCCATCTTTATTCAAGAGCGTGGTCTTTCAGTTTGAGTGCATGACTTGTTGAATTTATGTTCAGATTGTGTATTACTTTTCATCAAAGCCCAAATAGCCCCTGTTTGCACTTAAATCTGCCTCTGCTCAAACTGTGTGCTTGCACTCAGATATTTTGGCACAGATTTCATATAAACAGCCCATTGAATTTGTGAGTCTTAGTTATTATTTATCTGAGTTTTTATTCCAATGTTCTGATATTCAGTGAGGAAACTTAAAATGTGTGTGTGTGTCTTACCTTGACTGTAAGTGTTCCAATTGTACCTGCAGGTTCTCAGTCTGCTCCACCTGCTCATCCAGAGACCTCTGCAGCTTCCTGGTCTGGTTATGAGACTCATCCAACTGCACACAAACACACACACACGCACACACGCACACACACACACACACACACACACACACACAGATAATAGATATTATTAGATATATTCAGTTCTACAAGACAATCAAACAATTGTGGGTGTTTTCTATTATGTATGTAACTTCCATGGGAGTAAAATGATGTTACATAACAGTTGGTTTAATGAGAAGCAAGGTTTTGCATTAGTGGAGCAGTCAAACACAGAGAGCACAAAGACAGACCAACAGCCTGAATGTCTGACCGTTTTGCATTTTGAACAAACACATGCTCCTACCTCATCCTCAGCTTGTCCTAACTCTTTCTTAAGCTCCTCCACCCTCAGCCGTAGCTTTTTGACTTCAGTCTCATGACTCTCCACTCTCCGGTTGGCATGGACGAGCTCCGCCGTCTTCTCTTGGAACTGCTTCTTCAGCTTAGTGTGAATGTGGCGAAGGTCGTTCAGCTCCTAAGGACAAAGCAGACGGACAGAGAGGACAGACGCAGGCTTAGATAAGCCTCCATATTCACATCTCATTACTGCTGAATCAGCTGATTAATCAGTTCGTCCATCAGTTATACAAATTTAAAAAAAGAAACCTTGAGTTTCAGCAATAATATTTTCATTTGCATCATCTCCCCACACATGGAACTTTTCCACAGAATACAAATACATGTCAAATGATACAAACTGTAATATGTCTAATAGAGCCTGACTGAGACTGACAATGATAAGGATAAGGCTGAAACTACATTTTTTATTAAGCCAAAGACCATGTTTTACAGGTCAAATCAGAATGTTTAGGATGTGGACTACATAAAGTCACAGATTCATTCTGTTTTTGTCTTTTCCCCCCCAGAAAAATCACTACATTCAAAAGACTCAAGTTACTTCGATTTAGCTACACTAACAATTATGAGTGACATACAATTTCTCATTGACATTTGTTGTTGCTTGTTGGTATCAGTTGACAGACACACCTTTGTGAAAGTGAAATCTGGGGATTGACTTGGGCTTATTTCCTCTCTGATATATTCAGATAAAGTGATTGCATGCCATTGTTTCTACAGTACCGTTCAAAACACAGTTACAATGTACTTTACGATGGATGGATGGATGGATGGATGGATGGAAGGATGGAAGGAAGGCCATTCATTGTTCCAGGCTATGTGAGAGGCATTTTTTCTAGACGCCCCATTGGCAGATTAACACATTGTTCATATATATATGTGTGTGTGTGTGTATGTGTGTGTGTGTGTTTGTTTTGTAATGGCTTACTCTGGATGAAAAGCTGTGAGAAATGCTTCATGTATCCAGAGGAAACGAAAAGGCTGTAAATAAGGAAGGAAGCACTAAAAGTAAAAAAGCACTAAAAAGGGACTCATGGTCTCTAGATGTTAATGTTTTAATGGAAACATTTGGTTGTGTTCCAAACTATTTTGAAAAGGTTTTATGCACATCTGTAATTTCAGGTAATTGTGTTGCTGGTCATGTCTGAAACAACAAAAAGCCCTTTCCCACACGTTTGCCTTGGAATAACTCTGGAAAGGCTGCACTTGGAGCTAATGGAATTATCAATAATGCACCATTGTCACTCACTGCACTTTCATGTACAGTACTTTGATGGCAAAGATTCAGCCGGCCTCTCAGCTGCCTCACACTTAATGGCTCCCCAGACAGAGTAGCTTCCAAGAAGCTCTTCAGAATTTATACACCAATAGCGGCATATCTACAGGAACAATAAAAGGCCAAACCCATGCAGGTCAAAGACATTGACAAGAATGCAGCCTTCGTATGAGAAGGAGACAGGGAATCCAGGAAGAAAATCAGATCTCCAGACCATCTGAAATTTGATGTCGGTTATGACGGTTTAGTAGTAGAGGCAGAAAAACGTGCAGGAAAAGTCTGGTGTTATTCTGTGTTTGTCTTAGTGTCTGTGACAAAAGAAAAACTAACAATGCGTTTGTGTGTTCCTCAATATTTTCGGACTTACCTACCCTGTCTTTCTCTTAAATTCAAGCCCATTGGTGCTACTGACTTTTAAAAAAAGGCAAAGAGGGCTGTCATGCTCGAGTCAGATTGTGAAATAGTCCAGTCGGCTGATTGGTGCGCCTCAGATGAGCCTAGAGTCCCCGTAGACCAAACAGTTCCAGAGAATAGCCAGCTCCATTACGAATGATAACTCAAATCCTCTGCATGGGGAATTTCAGCTTCTACCCTCTGGTTGAAGGTTTGCAGTCCCGAGGGGTAAAACAAAACGCACAGAAATAGTTTTGTTCCATCTGCAATTGTTCACTTGAACGGGTTATAGCTATATTAGCACATTTGGCCTTATACAATTTTCTATTGATAGCGAAGCACTTTAGCACTTTTTCTCATGGCCTTTTGTGTTCTTCTTTTCTGTCAGTGTGTTTGTCATTTTGAACTGTGTTTGGATGGATGCCTCCTCTTTTTTTTTGGCTGCAAAACAAATCTTCCATATAAAGTACATATAAAGTAACCTAACCTAACATTTTCCTGAAACAGCGGGCTCTACTTTTTGAGAGCCTGCTTAAGTCTATTGGGAGGAAGTAGTGGATTTGTTGGACATATTTTCATCTATGAATTAATACACATTTGGGACTGTTACTCATATCTGGGATATTAACCACCTTTTTAGGAAAAAACTCTTTTGCATGGATACTCTATGAATATCAATTTGATAACTGAATACTTGACATAATTTGCGAAATAAAAAAGCAAATGATGATTTCATGAAATACTAATTTAACACAGGCTAAAATGGGGACACAATTCATATTCCAATGGTAAGTTTTGGTTACACAAGGTCTKTTAGTTTGAACATATTTTTAACAGTAATTGTGTTTTTTCATGTATTTTGTCATTAATCATATGAAAACATGGAAAATAAAATTGAAACTAAAATGGCACATACCTCCACCAAGGCCGAACAGTCCCCTTATGAAACCACATTTAAATGAACTAGATCTGGATTTTTCTTTGGATCACTAAACATGCAGCAAATCTATATATCTTAGAAATCAATGAAAATGTTATAAAGCACCCTCTATTGCAGTGTTATAACATGCAAAAGATGCAAAAATGAAAAATAAACCATATCTCCAGGTGAAAGCGGTGACACACACCTGTAGAAGACACCAGCAAAGATGTCCCGCTGAGTTGTACATGTGTGAAAGGCAAACTGCCTGAAGCCAGTTCTCCGGATTTTACCTGCTAGTCAGATAGTTTGTCTGTCTGCCTGTATGTTTGTCTGTCTACATGCCTGTCAGCCTGCCACATCTTTCTTTTGGATCAAAGTCCTGGCGGTTGTGTCTGGTGTGTAATCTGTCAGACAAAAGGTGCAATAAATCGAGCAGCTTTCTACTGTACGCCCCGCAGCAGACATGTAGAGCAGAAACCTCTGTATTCCCTGCAGTTTCATCACTTGAAAACAATAATGAAGAGGGCAGAGTGAGAAGGAAGAGACAGGAAGGGAGCGAGCAGGGAGGAGAAGACGATATGAGGGAGAAGCTGGGAGTCCCTGACTCTATTAAATGTGAGGGATTACTGAATGATCTGTGAACAATGAGTCTGTGTAAACCTTGGACCTATGTGTGAGTGAGTGTGAGTGTGTGCGTGAGTGTGTGCAGATTGAAAACAATCTGGATCTAGTGAACTGAAATAGTAGTATGAGCTCTACTGAGTGTTATATAACAATAACAATAATAATATTAATAATAAAATGTATTTATACAGCTCCTTTTGTACATAAGATGCACCACAAAGTGTTTTACAATAAATTCAAAGATATGAAATAAGATAGATCAATAAAAACAAGCAATTAACATTATTCTAGTTCATCTGGCCATGATATAGTCCTGCCTTCTCCTCTTACTGCACTTTCAATGGTCAAAGTATTTTAATTATGTATCGAAAACATTAAAAGTTATTTTTTTCATCTCCAGCAAGCAGGCAACATAATGCAGTAAATGCAAAGACATGATGACAGAGGGAAAATGAGACTGTTGGAATATCAATATTTTCCTCAGATATATTTATGGTATAAAATGTGTAGAATTTTGTGATATCTAGTGTTGAAGTTTCATGTTGCAGCTGAACACCCCTCACCTCACCCTTCCAAAAGTGAAAAAGAACCTGTGGTAGCCTGTAATTATAAAAACTCAAAAGGTGTTTAGTTTGTCCAGTCTGGACTAATGTAAAAAACATGTTGGCCTCCATAGAGAGGGTCCCCTCCATGTACATATAAAATATTTAAATATAAAGTATTTGAATATAAAGGACCTTTTCTGGGGTAAAGAAAACTACAATTCATACAATTTAGATGAAACCAACTAGTGAAAACATCATGAGGATTATTCTACATTAAATTTCTGCCAATAGTTCCCTTTCACCTAAATCTTACACATTGGACCTTTAAGTCTGAAGAAAACTATAGGAATAAAATGACATCATAAACTCAGAGCGCTTTTCTACTCAAACATAATGTATAGAGTAATCGCTGCCCTTCTCACTTTGATTCATTCTAGTGTGTGTCTGTGTGGTGCTAATTGTAGCATTAAATAAACCTGAGTGCTTCATAAATAACCCCATGGGGCAGGTGGTAATGGGGCCATTTACATTGACAAACACTTACACACATTGTACGTGCAAGACTGTGCCACCCACCCTGGGGTAATAGGCCCATTTAAAGAAGCAAGAGATCATCACACACACACACACACACACACACACACACACACACACACACACACATACACACACACACACACACACACACACACACAGCATATTGGATAAACAACCCCACCTGGTGACTACAGGTGTCATAACAAGACATATACTAAGATATATATATGAATTAAGAATATTATGATGTAATATTTTCAAAACCTGTGTTGCTTTTATATGATTCATATCCAGGAATCATGATGAAGGGTGTCAACAAGGCAGTAAATCGAGAGCTTCGCCTTCTGGCAAACCTCATGGGGACCATAATACCAGTTCTGTCCAGACATCAGACTTCACTCAAATTTCATTTGCTGCACCCATTGTCTCATTTGCATGATCTGTGTTTAAAACATGATAATAACCTCTGCCATAAACACAGTATCCAATGGGAAACTTCTGGGTGAAATTATTCAACCAAGAGTGGACAACAAATGGACAATAAAAGAAAAATAAACAACAAAAACAAATGGTCCTACTGTTATTGTAAGTGAGATGTGCAGATAGACAGATACACAGAAAGAGCTATAGTGAGGAAAGTGGATGCTGGTTTCTCACTGATTTACACTGACTGTGTATCGCAGTGTGACAGCGAGCATCAATCTGTGCAGAGGCAGTGATGCCCAAATCTGTGCCTGTGGCTGAAGATGATTCTACTATCAATCAACCAAGTGTGCATCCAGTGTCTTAATCGCTTGTCTTGTTTCTCATTCTCTGTTCGGATCAATACTATTCAACACTGCTTTCATAATACAATCAATCTGTCTCTGTATTTTCTCAAACACACGGTCGGTGCGCAAAAGAGATTTCATCAGCATATATGTACCAGTGTGGTAATAAAATGATTGTACAATCTGAAGTTCATCTCTCTTTTGTTGCTGCATGGAATATAAAGAATAACCCAGTTGTGTTTAAAAAACCCTGCTTACTTGTTATTATAGACATGGCGTACAATAGAATAAGACCAAAGTTGTAATACAATGGGATTTTCTATTAACAGCTTCATAGTTGGTAAAACTGAATTGAAGGAAACAAGACAAGAGAGCAGCTGCTGGAAAAGGTTTCTCAGCATAGTGAAAGCACAGGGAACTGAGCACTTCCCCACCTCTCTCTGCCCCCCCACACTCAATAATTTATTTTAATACATGTCAATAACTATGTTTCTTTTTTCTCCCATAGTCTCTCTCTCTCTCTCTCATTTCAGATATCTCTGATCACGGAACTGCAGGACAACATATACTACTATTATTACTATTATTAACAACAATACTTCAGTAATTAATTATTATATGAATTGTTACTGTTATCAATAATAATGAATAGTCTTTACACTGTTACTGTTTACATTTTAACTAGTCAGATCTGATACCTGATGGTGCTCAAGTGTTCCCGGTCTCTCTCGCCTCTCTCTCTCGCTCTCCTCCCCACTATCTCTCTCTCTTTTCTCCCCTCTTTTCCACCCATCTCTCCTCTCCTCCCCTTTTTCTTTGCTCCCCCCAACCAGTCGAGGCAGATGACCGTCCACATTGAGTCTGGTTCTAGAGGTTTCTCTCTGTTAATGAGGGAGTTTTTCCTCCACAGTCTCCAAAGTGCTGCTCATTGTGGGAACTGTTGGGTTTCTCTATATTAATAAGATTTTAAGGTCTTGACCTTCTATGTAAAGTGCCTTGAGATAATGTATATTATAATTTGGTGCTATACAAATACAATTGAATTGAAAAAGAAAGTGTAAAAGAAGTCCTGCCCACCTTGTTTCTTTCGAACAGCTCACTCTGGATGGCCTTCAGGTCAGTGTCGAGTGCAGAGGCGGCCTGCCGGCGTTTCTTGGCCAGTTGTTCCTCCAGGTCTTCAGCTTGAGCCCGCAGCTTCTTGTTGTCCCTCTCCAAGGCCAGTTTCTCAGTTTCCAAACACTCCCTGCGCCCCCACTCTGCAGCGTTCTCCACCTGCAGCCTCTCCATCTAAAGACAATGAGAGGAAGAGGCCGACATGATGAAATGTTTTCTGGTGGTAGACTAAAAGTTACAGGGGGGCTGTATAACCTCAAACATCATCTCCAGTGGAAAAAACTGAGGATTGTGTGCAGACTAACACACGCTGTTCATTTAGATCACGTGCAACAAAATGTGCAATCTTTTATAATGCACATGCAATTTAGAACTCTTAGTAGATCAGGCCCTAAGTCTAATGTGATTGTGAGTAAGCCCAACATCCAACATTCAAACCTGCCATTGAACTGTCCCTGATTTCAGACCCTGATTGTATCAAGTTTACCCCTGGTGTTAATATGAGTGCAGACTGTCCAAACTGAGATACTTTTTAGATCAGACTGAGATCCATGTTCATGTCAGAACCTCCTCTAATTTGCACAGGTATACAAAACAACAAGCAGAGGAAAGAAGAAGAATAGAGGAAGATGGTAGCCATCCGTGATGTAGTGTTGTGTTTTTTTGCTTTTTAATTGGTCTCATCTTTACACAGGTGCCCTGACTGAGGGGAAGACTGCCTCCTGTGTTCACTGACTAATAGCTAATAGCTTACTGATAGATGTGGACTGACAACACAATCTAATTGAAACTTGTGTTCAACAGGGTCATGATGTTTCACTGACCACCTTCAGAGGTGGTTGGCCGATGGCATCACTATCTGTCCTCAATGTGACTTACTGATTTACACCTGAATGTTCTACCCGACTGTTGTCTGATCACCAAAGACAATTCTAATGCAGGTGTTTTCCTCCAACTACTCTATTCACCTGACTGACCATGAAAACTACTTGTCTCTGCTATGGGCAATAGTGGAATGTTCATGGATGACATTTTATCCAATGTCCACAGATCTACATGAGCATATTTATCTGTATATATTTACAGTTGCGATGCCCTTGTACTGTCACAGCAGCAGCTCAGTTCATTGCTATCCTGCTCCATTCATTTGTTGTTATCTGTGAAGCTCCCGGGGATACTAACAAAACAATTCCTGTGTTAATTTCCTCTGGGTGTTTCACAAGAAATGCATTTTAATATCAAAACAGAGGAGGCCAGACCACTATGAAACACCCAGAGGAAATAACACTATAGCAATGCTCACTTGACTCCTTTCTCTGTAAATCTATATTTGTAGTTGTTGTAAGGGGACAGAGGGAAACTCTCATCCACACGTTGTATCACCTCCACAATGCGAGAGGCTGTATCATGTTCCACCTTCCCAATAGAAAGTGTATTTGTTTATTATTTACTTATGATAAAGATCAATAGGAACAACATACAGTTTTAGAACTGACATCCAGGTGATATGTAATATAATACACAGTTAAGGGGCCACCCCTAAAAACTAGCTGTCATTAAACACTGTCTATTTTACTTGTATACCCAGCTGCGGTAAGAATGGATCATATAATAATCATTAGATGACAACTTAAGCAAGCTAGTAAGAGTGAGAGTTGAAATCTCTATTTAATGTGAAGCAGGAGATTGCAATGTAGTTTCTTCAAATGAGGGTAAATAAACCAGATGGTTGAAATTAAGTCAAGTGATTTGACAAATTAATGGTAACAAATGGCACTGAATTAAGTTAAAGATGGCGATGCTAATGTAGGAAAACGGGTCTGCTTTCATTTGTGAGGGGCTGATATTTTGCCTGTACCTGCCCACCACTCACCTGTTCTTTCTTATGCTGCCACTGTTAACCATCTTCACCTTGTTCTCTGCTCTCCTGTCTCCTTACCTCAGCTCGTAGTTCAGCTAGTTTCCTGTCCATACTGGTCCGAGCTCCCAGCTCGTCCTCCAGGTCTTCAGATATACGGCCAAGTTCATCCTGGTGGATTTCCTTCAGCAGATTCAACTAGATGGTGTTAAGAAGAGGAGGAAAGACAAATACTGATGTGTTGCTGGGATCAAAATAAAGACTTAATTCATAGAACAGGCCATGAGTAATACTACTACTACTTCCTGAGAACTCATGTGACAAAGCAGCAATGACTAGTCGGCATGGAGGCAGGTGTGATTACATCACAGGGTGGTCTCTAATTCAACTCTACAGTCAATACAATCTCTGACATATTATAATCTTAGTAAAATGTTATGCATGACAGGGAACACAACTTTGTAATTGCTTGACAGTTTTTGTGATTTGATCAGAAAGAAGAGATGTCTGGTCACTTCAAGAACAAAATGTCTGCTGTGATCTTGAATATCTGGGACCAGAGGGTAGATAAGTTTGACCCAATCTCCTCTCCCATCATCTTTCATCCCTCCTTGTGAGCACTGCATCCCCGCATCTGCTTCCTCTGCACCTTTAGCATTTCACCCTATCCTGCTTTCATCTTTATCTCCTCTATGCTGCTTATCTTCAAAACACCCGTCATCACGGTCCACACATCTCTCATATCTTCTGACCCACTCCATTCCTTTCTTTGCCTCTGTTGGTTTTATCAGACTGAATCTTTCATTTTTTTGTTTGTTGTACCACCACCTTACCTCTCTCCACTCTGCATGACTGGACTGCCCTCAAGTGGATTACCTCTGTCATAACATTAACCGCATTTATGGCCTTAGTCCATGAGCGACCCTACAGTCTATGAATTCTCCCTTGGTTCTAGACAGTAACAGTAAAAGAAAGTGGGCATTGTCAAAACCATATTTTACTACAATATTGCAGATTGTACTATACTATCCCACCTTATAATGTTTGTGCAAATATATATTACTGTTATGAACACACTGAGGTACCATCTTACTGGGTTTTGTTTTTCCTACTTGTCTGTATCCAATTCCAACCTAACTCTGGTCTGCTACTTATGTTACTGTAAAGCTTTCACTCCTGGCAATCCTTTAATTCCTGTCTTGTCTGAACAGCTTCTTGTCAGTGGCGGGTTGTACACAGTCTTATGACTGATGTATATGGCGTCACTAGCCACTCCCCACTCGCAAGTCTGGAAGATAGCAAACCATCTGTGTAGAAGCCTCACCCAAAAATTAGGAGTGGCAAAAAAATCTATTTATTTCAGTCAATTAATTTAAGCCTTGATCCACATAAATACAAATCCAGCAGATGGGTCCCTCATCCATTTTGGGATAACAAGCCACGGAAATGCTGTAAACTGACCTGATTCATAAGATTGGTCTGGATTCCAGGATGACTGTGACAATTTGTATCATCTTTCTTTTGGGAAGTCTAAAATATAAATTTACTTGACTTTTGACTGAAAGATCTGCCACAGCCTAAGATAAGATGCACGCTTTTTCATCCCTCACTTCTTACTGCCAGATACAACTAAAGTTTTAAGTTTGGTTCATATTTGTTAATAAGAAGATATGTTTGTTTTGTATTAGGCACAAAGACATGTATGCTCAATCTACACAGAATCAAAGATTCTAAGACAATAAAATCTAGTTTTTTACTAGTGGATTGTATATTCTATAGTTCGGAGCAATTTTGAATAAATAATAAATCAAACATCGTTATTATGTTGATATTCTGTTTAACTTTGCTGTTCAAATGATTGTAAAATAATCCTAAATGTATTTCAGTCAGACAACTCATGTTTAACTGTTTATTGCAGCAGTAGAACATAGTTTGTGTTTGGCGTCTAGGCTCCGACTCAATCACTCCCCCGATATGATTTCACAGATATGATGGGAGTGACGAGCAAATACTTGTGACCCCCCCCGGTGGCTACAGGTGGCTGCTGGGGTGGTGGAGGGGCTGAAGCAACTGGTAGTGATACTGCAGCAGCAGTGCAAGCGAAGGGGTTTATGGGAAATGTCTCTCTGCTTAAATAGGCTGCCTAATAAGATGGGTGTGTCTAATAGATGATTGTGGAGAATGATGTATGTCACATGATGTGTGTCACATGATTGGAGCAGAGCAGCTCGAGTTGGCTGCCTGAACTAACTCGCAGGGTTCGCTCCATTAACACACCTTCTAAATGTTGCGATGTCCAGGGGAGCACAAAACGTCTTCACCATGAAGCTATTCTCAGATAATTTCCCTAAAATTTACCATTTTCATATTGAACCATTTTTTCTTTATTTCACTGACAGTGGGATATGCAGGTGATACAGCATTGACAGTGCTACATTAGTCTGTCTCTTAATGATCTGCTGATGCTGCTAAAAAGTCTAGAATTTCCTCTATGCATCATTGAAACCAGGACTTTGATATTATATTATGCTATAATTCTACATCATGGCATTCATCATGTACCCACAGGTCATTCATACACTTTTCTGAAGTAGTGTCATGTTCAAATAAAGTCACCATACAACCTAATGTAGGTGAAGTTTAGGATAAGAATACGGACATGTTCTTCCATGAGGTCCAATAATACTATCTTTTTGAATTTAACAATAAACGTAGAACCTTGAATGAGTTGCTTGATTTAATCAAAAACTTAACAAACTAATTTGTTTGTGGAACCACCATCTACAGTTGGTGACCCTCTGTCAAGACAGAAAGTATGAACTAGACTAAACGCAGCAAGAGTGGGAAAATGTCTTCTGTGTATATACAGTAATCCAGACATTCATTGTAGCAGGCAGGGTGGCAGCCTGACGACACAGATAGCTTACCTGTTTGAGGGCCTCCTGCTTGCTCTTGCTGAGCTCCTCATATTTAAGTTTCCACTGACTGAGTTCAGCCTCCAGCCTCTCAATGCTCTTACTCAGAGCAAGTTTGTCACTGGAGAAGAGAGAAGACATCTCAGTCAGACTGCTATAGAGTCTGTGCGGTTCCATTTTTCATTTTGTACATTTTCATTCATTTTGTTTCATTTTAACATTGTTATCATCAGTGTTAATATTGTCCACAAATAATCACACTGAGAAATACTATACATATACAGTGTGAGAATACTTTGGTCTATTATGAAGCTATAGCAGGTCAGAGGATGTTAGCTGAGCAAACATACTTTGTGAGCCACCGTGACCTTTGACCACCAGATTCTATTTAGGTAATCCTTGAGTCTGAGTGAATGTTTGTACCACATGTAATGAAATTTAATTTGGGCATTCCTGATATATCGAGTTCAAAATGCACGATCATGTGACCTTGACCTTTTGAACTTCGACCACCAAAATCTATTCAGGTCATCTTTGAGTCCAAGAGAGTATTTCTACCAAATTTGAAGATATTCCCTCAAGCTGATCAAAGAAATACATTAGCATACTTTTTGAGGCCACTGTGACCACGGTGATTGAATCCTTGAGTCCCTGTGAATGTTTGTGCCAAATGTGAAAGGATTCCTTGATGGAAAGATCCCCTTCACAAGGCAAAATATTAACTTATGAGGTCACCATGATCTTGACTTTTGACTGTCAACCACCATTTAATCCTTGAGTCCAAGTGAATAGTTGTTCCAAATTTGAAGTAATTTCCTCAAGGCATTCTTGACAGATTGCATTCAGGAGAATGGGATGAACAAACAGACAACCCGAAAACGCCTCCAGGCCACTGGCTGTCGCCCGCACTGAGGCATTTAAAAAACAACACACACTTTAGTGCAAAATAACAGTCTTCAACGAACCCACAAACATGTTCCCTGTCCATCCAGGAAGCATCCCCAAACGGAGCACTCACACATAGCTCCCAGAGAAGCAATAAACCAAGCTCAGCTCAACTACAGTGCCAAACATGGGTGATGGGAATAAATTGTAAAACAAATTGACAGTCAAAAGTCGAAATAAGTCATTTGAATAACAAAATTACAAATTGTGTATCATATGGTAAGGTAACCGTCTGGATAATTACATCTGTAGGAACTGTTGGGTTTCTCTATATTAATACAATTTTAAGGTCTTGACCTTCCACGTAAAGTGCCTTGAGATAATGTATATTATGATTTGGTGCTATACAAATAAAATTGAATAGAATTAAAATTGAACTGCAGCGTTGTGGGGAAGAGGAGATTGTGCTCCACCTTGAGCTCCCAGAGTGCACTCAAGATCTCACTGAATTCACGTCGCTGCCATATTATCTCAGGCTTGTTGTCTGCGATAACAAAGACCTTTTTGCCTATTTACTCCACTGAGCGTCGGCTATCAGTGAGAAATTTCCCTACAAAGAGTAACCATGACCTTGATGAGTAAAATGAGTAAAATGTCCTTCAAAGTAAAACTACTCATCGCTAAGAGTAGCCTCTTTCAGTGTTCAGTGTTATATATAATTCAAATCAGAGTAGCCTTTAAATGTTACAGGGGATGTTGGTGGAGATATTTTAATTGTCCAAAAAACAAAGATTAAAATTATTTTTTATTTCATGTAGTCATAGTTTTCTCTTACTCTCTTTCTTTCAACAGGACTTTCTGGGACTCATCCAGGCGAAGCTGGAGGGCGTTGAGTTTGCTGGAGTCGTCCTCCACTGTGCTCATGTCCTCCCACAGCTGCCTGCTGCGCTCCTGCCGGCTCATACCGCAGGATAAGCGTGAGCTGGCGGCGTTGACACCACGTCCATCCCAGGCCTCCTGACTGTCGGTGCCTGGGGCCCTGGAACGTAGAACAGACTCTAGCAGCTCCAAATCCTGACAGAGACAAAGACAAAAAATGTGATGAAAATACTAGTGTGCTGATATGAGGTGCATACTATACGCTGCGCTGTATAAAATACTGCTTTATTTTGTAATCTTAATGAATAATAAGAGCTTTACATTAAAAGTTACCTTCACCCATTCATATGCTTCTAAGACTACATCATGGCATTCATCATGTACCCACTGTAAGAATTTCTCTATCACTCATTCCAGTCACACACTGCTGACGGTCATCAATGACAGTTTCGGGTTTCCGTGTCATATGACAGATTACCATGCAGACTTGAGTAGTCAGGGTTCTAACCCCTCTACCCTCTGAGCCACAACCATTTATTAAACAATACTGAAAATCACTGAAACAGGTCAGGTCTTGTTTTTGGTGAATGCAGAGTCACCATAACCAAGGTTTAATAAACCCAAATGACCCTTTAAGCCAAACAGAGAATAAAGGGTGATATATACAGTGATATATTAACAGATAAACTGGTTATATGAAGAAAATAGGAAACAGGTTAAAAAAAACAAAAAAAGTTTTAAGCAAAAAATAATTCTCTTCATGCAGTGCAGTTATAATGTATAGTGTACAACAGTATGTCATCAGGTAGTTTGGATCAGTGTCCCTGCAAACAATTCCAGTGAAAAAAGTCGTCTCTTGTAAGGTTTCATCAGAAGCTCTGTGTTTTTGAAGAGGCTGTCTGCTCTTATGTCTTCTTTTTCTACCTACCAAACTGTTTTACCCAGTGGGTCATCTAGGCTTTGTGCTGGAGTGTACTTACAGCCAATATAAATATAATGGTAAATGTAGATTGTTTACCCCTTTTAACATAAATCTGTTTGCTTTGGCAACAGTTTCCTCTCCCTGTGTATTTGATGACATTAACCTGATGTAAACAGTGAGGTGTCTGTTTGCCACAGGCTCCTAAATGAGAAAATTGAAATAAAGCAGAAGTGTGGTGTCATCCAAGTTCCCAGACATTCATGTTCGACTCGAAACAAGGTAAATTCCACTGTGTTTTAAAGGTACAGTGTGTAGAATTTTGTGACATCTAGTGTTGAAATTGCATGTTGCAGCTGAACACCCCTCACCTCACCCTCCCCTTTCAAACATGAAAAAGAACCTGTGGTAGCCTTTAATTACCATAAAAACTCAAAAGGTGTTTAGTTTGTCCAGTCTGGACTAATGTATAAAACATGGCGGCCTCCGTAGAGAGGGTCCCCTCGATGTAAATATAAAGTATTTAAATATAAAGGACATTTTCTGGGGTAAAGAAAACTACAATTCATACAATTTAGATGAAATGAACTAGTGAAAACATCATGAGGATTATTCTACATTACATTTCTGACAATAGATCCCTTTCACCTAAATCTTACACACTGGACCTTTAAGCCTAAAAGTCCTCCAGGTGTTTTTTTACGTCTGAAGATAAGTTACTAATATCTTCAGTTGTATTGGATTCTGCTGCTACACTTTTTTGCCCCTGAAAATCCAGAGGGGTTTTGTGGACTCGGACACTTCACTTCACTCACTCCTCCATCGGCATAGTGGTGAGTAGATAATGAGTGAATTTTCATTTTTGGGGTCAATGCTTAATATTGACTTTATTCACAAGTAAAAATCTAGCATGTTGACCTCGTCACATTGCTAATAAACATTAAGTACACAGTCTGGAGTATTGAACAAATATATTTTTGATGGGCTGGTGCCACAAGGGGAAATGTCAGAGAATCATCCAAGTCATTAGGACTTGTTGTGTGGTAAACTTGACATAGATTCAGATTGTTGAGATATGTAATATGATATATATATATACATATACAATATATTAAAAATGAAGAGAACCTTCAGACCATAAAAGGAACAAAAGCTCAGAGCTGGCAAACAAATGAATCAACCAATAGTCTACATCAACAATCGTTTTTTACCATGTTGATTTTGCATTATTTTTCATTTCATTACTAATCTTTTAGCAGAGCAACAAAACATGATGATTCTTATGTCAGTAGCACTTTCCTCCATGCTCCGTTACTTCCAGAACATATTAACGTGTGACAAAACAGCCCAGCATCGGGCTTAGAGCCTGACTTAATGCAAATCACATGAGCTGTGGCTGTGAAGCTGGTCCAAAGAAATTTTTCCCAACACACATGAATAGATTTATTTAATTTAAAAGACAGACTTGACCCAGATAGACCTGAAAATCATTGGACCTAATCCAAACTGCAGTGGATCAGAACAGGCTTAGAGAGGACAGAGGGAACATCAACAGTGGTAGTGGCATGATGATCATTAGTTAACAAGCAGCCACAGCATAAAGGAAAATCCGTACAATAATAATAATAAAACATAAGGACTTAATGGAGAAACTACATCCTTATTTATTGGTATGGCATTTTCACCTCTTCCACCAACAATGACAATAATCTGTAGCCAACTGTGGTGGACAAACAGAGGAGAAATGTGTTCTGACCAATATCTGTCCATCACATTTTAAATTACCTGTCATAGCATAGATCTCAGATCACTGACATAAAGGTTAAGGTTTGCCAAACTAATATACGACATGTCATGCTTCTGCTGTCATTACAGGTAACCCCCAACAGAGGGACCCAGTGTGTAAAGGATGCTGGTAACCAATCACACTGTGCAACATGTGGAAGTACTCAGTGTGTGTGGGAACCAGAACAATTGAGGGAGACAGGAAACGAGGCTGTACTGTGTTTGAGCAACAGTCAGCTGCTGCTCTAAGACCACCTCTGCTGCCGCTGACACATATAATCATGGTTTACTTGGAGCACCACAGCCTAAACGTGTATAACTCAGCCAGTGCATTGTATGTATGTATATGCATGTGTTACCATGGCAACGCTGCCAGAGGTAGCTGAAGGTTTAGTCTGACAGGCAATGATGGGAATATTTATTCTCTGCCCTTTTTAAACAAACACCTTCATTATGAGGTCAGAGCTCATGTACACATGGGTATGTATTGGTGTATTACTGTGTGTGTGAGAAAATATGCAACGGCCAAAAAAACAAAGGTACGCACTACTGCTAAAAACATATTAAAGCTCAGTGTCATCCAGCGTAACTGAAAAACACAGGAGGTCAAAGCAGCATCATCATAGGAACAAGTTCTACATTTGGTGACTGTACCAGCTCATTAAAACACATCAAATACAGTGGTGAACTTGGTTTTACTCTGAATGTTTCCAGAGACGGCAGCTCAACAGCAGTCAGAGGGGTGAGCATGCTGGAGAGTCCTCAGAAGAATGATTAATATAGAGTGATAAAGGCCCACCTGTTGAAGGCTTTTGGACTTTCTCACTCTGAGTGTATGGAAAGCCTTTTTAATCAAAATTAAATAAGTAAATATGGCTATGAAATAAACCCTGAAATAAAAATATATGGCAATAAATATGGCTTTTTTGTTTGTTTATCTGGATGATATACTGGTAGCCAGGTCTACTAAAACAGAACACGTCTCTTGAGCGACTCGGTCCGAATGGCCTGATCATAAACCATGTTCACGTTTGCATGCACACACACCGCACAGAAAGAACTCAACACTCTTTCTTTTCTGTATGAACTACCTTCGACTGAGCTTTTCATTTTCAAGAGACTGCAATATGACCTTTCACAGAAGTTTATGCCAACAACCTGTGTGCAAAGTAAGGGATTAATTGACACTCGAACTACCTCTGAAAGCCTCAAATTCTGGGGGGAACTCTGGAAAAAAGATTTCTCACTATAACTGTCATTACAATGTCTTTTAAATGCGGTCTATATCCAGTATTGGGTATGCAGGGTTTTCACTACGTTTATTTTGCAGATGCAAAACCCTGCAACATGACCTCACTGACCCACTGACCTGCGCTCGCTTTACATGTTAACAATAAACACCAACACTACTCAGAAGTTAAGGACCACAACAGTACTGAAGTTTACTTTCATTTGATTCACTCTAGTTTAAGATACTCGTATTTATACACAATTTGCTTCTCATGATCTTGTGTGTCTGAATAAATATAGCTTAGCAAAGCAGCAGTTCATTGTTTGTAAAGAACCATTTCTGCTTTAGGTTTAGTATGACCTGCACAAGCTGACAGAGAAGAACTACTGCAGTATCACTGAGCCCTCAGGGAGATGCCAGCATGGTGTGTGCATGTGTGTGTGTGTGTGTGTGTGTGTGTGTGTGTGTGTGTGTGTGTGTGTACCTGGTTAGCCATACTGTCTCTTAAATAGGACACCCCCCAACTCATACATATTCTTCATGAGTGAGCTCACAGGGTGTGATTTTATTATCTTAGGGAAGACATGGGAAGACACAGCAACATGGCTGGCTTACCCTTACTCTGTCCATTAGAGATGCACAGATCAAGGTTTTTTATTTTATTTTTTAACCCTAACACAACATACCTACTCACCCACTATTGTCTAAAGACAAGGGAGGTTTGGCCTGCTGATGTGTGAACTACTAATGTCTACAACAAGCTGTTTCACTCCAATCCACCAGGCAGCAAGAGACTACACAACAATAATGATGCTATATGTATAAATAGAGCTACACTATAACAACAATAAACAGGGACGAGACACAACTGGAAAGAACAAATTTGATGTGTTTGTAGAGGCTGGCCATCTGAAATAAAACACTGCAGTACCCAACCAATCAGGCTTCTTCAGCACTGCAAAGCCTATTGTTATTTATAACAGTCTAAGAGCTGCTTTGTTACTTTTCCACACCCGCCTGCAACAGTGTTTTCTGAAAATAAGTATCCAACACTGCACTCATCACTACCGTCCATATAACAGCTGACGACATGAGCTCACTGATACTGAAACAGGATCACAAGCAGCAACCTTTTCATTATTTATTCATCTGTTAATCAATTTGAATCTTTTTTCATTTATGAAATGTTTGGACAAATGCAAACTTCACATGTCACCAGGCTGCAATTATCAATCTTAACATTAAGATTAAAGTCTACCGCCGATCTAGAAGCTCTTGGGGCCTGTGTTTAAATACTAAGGTCAGTATGCTAACATGCCCCTGGTGACATTGTTAATCAGCTGATGTTTAGCATGCTCACAATCTTAGTTTAGCATGTCTGGATTTGCTCAATGGCAAGAGATCCACCCAGAGAGTGACAGGAGTGTGTATTTGAATGAGAATCGAAAAAAATGATTTGTGGTAAAGCAAGAAGAAAGATCAGGGGATGACCAATCTCATTAGGGTTCACATTTAATGACAGTCCATCCAAAAGTTAGTCCAACAGGTCACCTTTAACACAACCAACAATATTTTAGGTCAATACATCTTCCATCTTATATCAATCAGTCTGTTGCAAACAATTTAATCTACTTATGTTTCTGTTCTCAGGTCTGTGCAGACAAATACATTCCTGAAACTGATACTAGTTGATCAAATTAAATGATGAATTTAATTTAATGTACAGTGCAAACTCACCTGTTGCTGACCAAGCTTATCTCTTTCCAAGTCCACGTCCCTTACTGGTTCTGGTTCTGGAGACCCTGGGGCTGCCTCCCCCATCCGGCCCAGCTTGCTGTCGTCCTGAACCTGAGATGAAGAGGAAGCAGGGGAAGAGGGAGGAATGGATGGAGATGAGGAGGAGGATGCACCACAGGGGTGTGCAGGGGAGCAAGAAGGGGAGGTGGCGGATGGAGGACGAGCCGCGTGGTCGCCACGAAGATGCAGTGTCTGCTGCCGTAGCGCTTCATTCTCCGAGGCCAGTTCCTGCCTCTCCCGCCGAACACTTGTCAACTCTTTGGTGAGAGTGTCCAGCCGCTGTCTCAGCTGACGAACCTCGTCACGTGCTCGGTTACGCTCTGCACGAACCTGCGAAACAAACAGCAATTGATACAGGATACACTGATCAGCCCCAGGCTCACTGCTTTCCGTGAAGATATAAAGTCACCAATATGTGGTTCATTGTTATTTAAGGTTCTCCTAAATACTTTCTCAGCTGAACATAATTTTTTACAAAATTTTCACATATGGTGCTCTTGTGAGTATTTCTGGCAGCAGGGCATAGTATAGCCAGAATAGCCATTTTCAAACATGACCTACAGAGGATGTCCGCAAAATTGGGTCAGAAGTTTGTCCTTCACACAAGAACAAAGCAGCTCAGACTCATTCACAAGAACACAGAAATGTCCAGAGCTTTCATCTGAGGGATGGTGCAGCTGGCAGAGGCAGGACTTTATTTTATCGGATGTCATGTGTTTTTCTTTACAAGCACATCAACGCTTGAAGCAGCTTTATCACCAAAAGCTCTCGACATTACTGGTGGTGTCTTCTACATGTATGGCACGGCTTTTTACGCCTCCGGGCCAGCGACAGCCAGGGGTTGCAGGCATTATGTTTTCTGGTTGTCCGTCCGTCCGTATGTCTGTACGTCCCATTCCTGTGAACACGATATCTCATGAATGCCTTGAGGCAATTTTTTAAAAATTATGTACAAATCTTGGACCCAAGGATGACCTGATTAGATTTTGGCGGTTAAAGGTCAAGGTCACTGTAACCTCACATAGTATTTTTTTCCCCCTCGCAAATGGGATTTCTCCAGAGCGCCTTGAGGGAGTTGTTTCACATTTGGCACAAACATTCTCTTGAACTTGAATTTGGTAGCCATGTGTCAAAGGTCAAGGTCACAGCCTCCCAGAGTATGCTTCTGTTTTTCTTCAGATCAGCTTGAAGGAAATGTCTTCAAATTTGGTGCAAATGTTCACTCAAAGATGAACCGATAAGAATTTGGTGCCTAGAGGTAATAGGTCAAGGTCATGTTGTTGCCCTCACATCCTTGTTAATGTGATATATTAAGAGTGCCCATAGGGAATTTCATTACACCTGTTACAATTTACTTGGACTCAATTTTGGTGGTTAAAGGTCATGGTGACCTCAAAAACACATTGTCCTCTTAAATGTGATGTCTGAATGCTGCTTGAAGGACTTTCTTCAACTTTTGATCTGTTGTCACTTGGACTCAAAGACAAAGTGATTATGTTTCAGTTGTCAGAAGTCACAGTGAATTTATATGAATGTGGAAAAAGAAAAACTGAACATAACCATATATTTCCATCATACTTCAGTTCCAAAAAATGTCAATAGAAATAAAGAAAATTCAATTTTTAACATTAAAAAAATCAGTAGATATGTTGCGTAACTAACATTTTGAGATTGCAGATACGTCCAGTATATATTTTCCTTGATGTACCTTAAAAACAGTCGTTGATTATAATCACTGCAGAATGTTGTTACAGGACATATTTGTTAATGCAAATGAAATGGATATGAATGGTATGATTCAGGAACAGCATGATGGTGGAAGAGTTGTCAAAAAGTGTATTGTATGTAAGAATTAACTGACTGATAAGCTGGAACAGTGGGTTCACCTATGGATTGAATCATAAAGCTATTAAGTTAAATGTGTTCAATCCATTCTATCAAATAAATCCAATAAACGATTAGGATAAAAGCTTTGACTAAAATATACATATGCCTTGATAAATACATGCACAACCTATTGTTTAGTAACCAGCAGCCCACCTTGCTCCACTTCTCTCTCCAGTTGGCGGTGCAGTCAGACCACCATCTCATGGTCTTCTCCATCTGTGCTGCTCGGGCCCGAGCCTCCTCCAGCTCCCTGAGCCGCAGCTCCTCCCTGCTCTCCCAGTCGGCCCCAGCTCCTTCACCCATGGCACAGAGGGATCCCAGCCCAAGGCCTCCGAGCCCGGGTGACAACAGCAGCGGGGGACTGGAGCTAGGGGTTTCCCCTGTGGGGCTGGGGGTGTGGGTGAGGCTGTCCGGGGAGCGGATCCCCCTGTCGGACCCCAGACCCAGGCTGCATAGCAGCCCGCCTCCAGCAGACCTACCACCTTCAGACAGGTGGGGGCTGGGAGTGTGGTTCATGATGAAGGCAGTGGTGAGGATAAGGGCAGTGAGGAGAATGAAGGGTTGTGAGTGGGGGGTGGGTTTAGCTGAACATCCTCATCCTCTTCAGTCACTGATCAACCTGGGGACAAACAATCAACAACAAGCAATCAGAACAGAATAGTAAACACATGCATGTACGTATGCAACCCCTCATGTACCTTGGAAATAAGCAATGTTCGAGCAAAAAACAATTCAAACAAGATCAGAAGAAATATAAATGTATTTTAAAACAAAGAAAGAAACCGGGGAAATCACTGCCAGACACTGAGCTGCTTTGGGGCAGAGACAGTCCTGGTCTGATATAGTAAATACAAAGACAGGCTGGGCAACTGCATCACATGTGGCTCAAACCACTTCTATTGCTTGATGCGAAGCAGCTCCATGTAAAATAAAAACCAAATGACCATGAGACGACAAACAGAAAGGAAGACATGTACTTTTTCAAATCTGAAACTAAGAAAGCGACCAGACGCACTTACAAAGGCATTACCGCACACACACACACACACACACACACACACACACACACACACACACACACACCCTGGTTTTAATACAATGTTCGAAAAACAAATGTCGAAGGGACGTAAGGAGCAGAATGTGGCTGTGTCATATTGGCTGAGATAGCTGCTTTTATGTGAGGTGAACTGTACTGGAACATGATGAACTGGGTTATACAATAACTCTCACTTTACATCGGATATTATTTCATAGTTTGTTTCCCATACTTTAGTTTCATTATAATTACTGGAACTGTATTGATTCAAAAAACATTGAAACACCAGGTGGTTGACACTGGAACACACCTGGTCCAACAGTGTGTGTCCACAGTTTAAGCGTTCAGCTAAAGCTTACACAAAGTAGTATTCCAATTATCGACAAAAGGAAATCATTAAAACAATTAATTAATAAGAAACAAAATTAAATAAATCATTTAAGGGTTCGAGGTTCTCAAGGGTCAGGATTTTCTGCTTCTATGGGTTTTAAATAATTGTATATCCTATAATTTAAGGCTGGTAATTTTATGCAGACTTCCTGCTTTGGGATATTGTGATTTTTATCTTCTTAGGAGGATGAAATAGAATTAAGAAGAAATTAATTATTGGACTCTGAATGCCAACCTCCTCCTAATACATTAGCTATGACTTTTATGAAGTTAAAATATATCAGTGGTGTATTTGCAGGTTGTTGCGCTGGCCTCAAGCTACTACAAATCTATTAATGTATCTTTAAGTATCGTGCATCTTATTTCACAAAAAAGAATACAGTATAGAGTTACATTAAACTGGAGATATACTGAGCTTGGCTCCTTCTTCTCTTTCAATAACTGCCTAGACAACATTCATAAATACTTAAGCAAAACATTGAGGCACTATAGATTTAATATCATACATTTATTTTTCATATGGGTTTAATGTATTTATTAGACATTGTGCAGATTTTATGTTTGTTATTTTACTTTTATCTTATTATAACCTACCAAAGTTGTTTTTCACTTTTCATTCGCATATTTATTTTGCCAATACTCAATAATCCCTTGCCAGACAACCTGTTTCTGTGTGCATGCTTTTTTAGTGGACCCTAAACACTAGTGAATCTACCCTCCGTGATCAGTGGGCTAACTTTGTTTATATGGCCACATATACTGCCAGCTTTTGGTTGAGAATTTCTGGAAAGAAATCCAATTTCTGGCTGTGGTGAAGTTTGGCCTCAAACTCTCTGGGCCAAGACAAGCTCTCTTCCTTCCTGTTCCCCTCCCCCTGCGGCCTCCTCCCTCTCCTCCAGAGAAGGCAGGGGAGCTCTGGAACTGTGGGAATTCAAAGGGAACCAGAAGGAAAGAGGAAATTAAGGTTTTGCATTCTGGCCGATCAGGATAGGACACAACTAAGAACTTTTTTGCCTATGTTCCTTGACACAAATTAACAGAATTCAGTCCAGTTATTGATAATTATGAGTCTATATCGGACAGAGAGCTGATCAGCAGACATTAAGGAGTTAAACTTGATGACATACTGGCTCTAGTGTTAATAGCCTGTTTTTATGGCCATGTAAACAATATGTAGTTCTGGCAGAATCTATGCTATATATTATTTTGAGAGATCTGTTCCTTTCCAAAAATGATCTCCCAATTACCATAAAAAACAAGATTGTGTCTCTTGTGTACACTATGTACACATGACTTAGATGTTTGTGGAAAATTAAGTTAAATTGCTTTCAAACCCCATTATGTTGAACCTCTCAGCCTTGTTTTAACGGTTATCTAATTGTTACTGCAATACCATATGTGCACATTCACATATTTGTTTAGTTTTACCTACAGGATTTTCTTTCTCGCCAATACTCTCCCATATCATGTTTCTTTGAGTTATATTCATATTTCTTTGCTGTTGCTCAACATGTGTGTTTGCCTCTTACACTAACACCTCCAATTCCATGGCATTACATTTTGCTTTGCGTTTGCAGTCACTCTTCTCTCCATAATGCTCCATGGCAGAAACCAGTAACGCAAAACACTCATTTCAATACTACTGCCTCTACCATGTTTGCACCTGTTATCATATGCGCAATTATTTTTAATAAATCACCCACAAAACGCCCACCAACCAAACAGGCAATCTGTTATAATGCACATGCAATTTAGTACTCTTTATTTGGGATCTTAGTAGATCAGGCCCTTAGTGGCTTAAGCTGATCGATGAGACTGACACTCGACAACAGGTACATGAGCACAAACACATGAACAACACAATCAAATACCATAATGTTCTTGACTACCTTGATCAATAGTAAATCAACATTACAGAGTTTCATTATGGTAATTGTAGGATTTAGCAATTTGGGAGTCATCCTTAGATAGATCTATTTTGTCCATTTTATTTGTCTTGTGTGTGTACTCAAACATTTGGGTATAATTCTAAGTGAAAAACTAAATCACAGACACACTTAAAATGATAATGGTATTCCCATGACCATGAGTGAGTTGACAGAGTTATTGGTTGCTGTAAATGTTCCTCCTGTCCACACTGACCCAGCAGAGCTCCTTTTCTAAAGCCACTCTAATGCAGGAGATGGGGGACAATATACACGGTCCTCGCTCTGTGCAAAAATGCATTCCAGAGGTCAGCCAAAGGCGGTTTCAGTACAAAACACTGCCATTACATAGAGACAGACACACCCCGACTTTGTGACAAAAATAAGTGAAAAATTAAAGGACCAGAAAATTCCACATTTAAATGCAACAAATTTGCTAAATAAATTTTGTCCGTAGCTGCAGTTAAAAGACAACTAAAATCCATGTTCATCCACCATATTCAAATCTACCAGACTAGAGGTTTAACTCATGCATCAGTTTCCATATGAGAGCTGAATGGGGACTCCTAACTTTTATTCTTTCTTACCTTGATGTCTCTGTGACTTCAGTTATCACAGCTGAAGATGAATCACAAAACACAGCTTTTGCTGTTCATCCAAACAGTATTTTTTGTGAACTACACTTAAACTCTGTTGCTGTTCCTTTGTCTCTCAATTTGCTATTTCTCCCCTTTATTTGCCCAACCTCCATTGGAACCCCACCCTCACATGGGCCAATTAAATGCACAGCCAACCAGTGCATCGGGCTCCGGGGTAATAAAACTCTTTGACACAACATCTGCCCTCACTGACCATATGTTATACAGCCCATACATCGACTAATGTTCAACTTCAACTCACATATTCTACATTACAAATAAATCATCAGATCATAGTTCTTGTGTTGGAAAACAGCATTGCGTCCACAACAATTACACACATCACACTTTATTTCACTTGTCATTGAAAATGACTTCTTTGTCGTCTGTTGTTGGAATGAGCAGCTGTCATGTCTGAGCAGAGTGGTCATGGCCAACACCATAGGCGACAGAGCGCTTGTGTGTTCACAGCAACTGATTTATGTGACTGTGACCATAAAGAGAAACAGCATGCTGCTACAAAGGATTTCCCCCAGTGCTAGCCAAATTCTGTGTGTTTGTGTGTGTTTGTGTGAGAGAGAGAGTAAATCTCTTCTCTAAATGAAAACAAATGAGCTCTGGTAGAGAATCACACTGGTATCTGACTTGCAGACTTCCGTCAATTGTCACAGTCTATTGGTAAATGGTTTGTATTTACATACTTATAAATATATTTATATACCTCTCAAAGTGCTTTAGTTTTCCATTCACACTTCGGCATGCAGATGGGGAAGACTGGGGATTGAACTGCCGACCTTCTGGCTGGAGGGCTCTACCCCTCAGCCACGCCGCCCTATTGTGTCTAATGTTGTGAAATACTCCCCTCGAGTAAATAGAGAAATATGTGAACCCATCACTGTCTATCATTTCTCTATTTACTAGAAGCTTGGTATGTACAAATCCTGTGACCTTAACTAATTGGCTGTTACATGGGAAACACAGATCTGTATATCAGCTCATTTCATGCTGATGAAAGGTTTTTATCTTACTCTACATGAATTCCCTGTGGGGCATGTCTAAAACATGGTGACTAGGTCTGAAGGCTGTTGAGTTGCATCAGTGCAGATGATACAAGAAGAGGGGAATTCATTTCTTTGTAGAGGCACAGAGGGATGAGTGCAGGAGTGTTAGTGACGTATTGCGAGGAGAAGTGTATTTGTTTCACTCTCTGTGTAGGCTGGAATATCTTCTGGAGGTAAATTAAGAAAGTTGTTCAAACTGTTTTTAACTTTGGTTGACCCTGAAACTCAAACTCATGACCTCCACCTCAGTTTGTGTGCATGATGTTGAAATTTGTGATTACAGCTGCTTTCAGACATGCACTTAACTCCGGAGATCCTCCGTGGTTTCTCGGAATTACGTGTATGTGTCAAAGCAAGTGTCCGAGTGAGAGCCTCTAGACTTTGTTTGGACATTCTCCATTTGGCCCCCAAATATAGAGCGCAGAAAGTCCAGAGGAGCTGATGTGACTGCACAGCAGATCTCCAGCAGAATATCCTGCAAGTGAGTTGGGGGGATAATGACACTTTTAAAACGTGACTGACGCAAAAAAAAAAATGAAAACAAATATATCGGGATGAAAAAGTGGAGC